TGGGCCTGGCTCTCTTCAAGCACTCCTGCTCCAGCTGCAAACTCCCAAACACATACTTTGGGAGGTCAGCCTGGCCTGAGGCTAGGGCACTCCATTATTCCTGTGACATATCTTTGAACATGCTACAATCCCTCCACTCCTGGCTCAGCCTTGTCTCCACCACAGAGCTGCCTTCCTCACCCCTCCTGAAGGACTGCTTAGCCCCAGACTGGCTCCTAGGTAGAAATAGCAATACTATTGGCGGACACTGCCTGGAACCCCTCCTTTGCGACCATCTGGCCTACACTGGAGGAGGATGCTTGGCTCTGCTTTTTAGATGCAAATTCCCTTGAAGAGTAACATATGAGACTCTTAATACTCTAGCACAGGAGGCCTTTTCTATCTTTATCTCCAGCACTGGACTTTAAGATGAAGGAGCCTGGAAAGGGGGAGATGAATGTCCTGCTTTATGCTTCTTTGTTTTTTCCTTTGCCATGATCTAGCCCTGAGCCACTTCTGATTCCAACAACCCTGTCCATAGCAGTCCTTTCCAAGTGGTTTATTCTGAGGTTTTGAAAATGGTACCCTGCTTGCAGTGTCCAGGGAAAAAGATCTTGGGTAAGGCTAGATCTATTTTGTAGCCCCATCTTGCTATTATTTGCTGGGTAACAGTCTTTTAACCTGTCTGAGCCCCACTACCTCAAGCATCATTATTATGAAGTCCCTTTATCTATGACCTGGGACACTTTTATAGCATATCCATGCTGCTGGACCCAGTTTACTGCTGTCTGTAGTTGGGGATCCTACTGCTCATGGGACTGGGGGAAAAGCAGGCTACCTCATGTGTGTAAGGTACCAGAGTGAGACTGATCTGTAGTCCCAGTCATGAGCTCCTGTCTAGACTAGCTGCTCCTGGATCCAAGTGTGCAGAGCTGAGGCTCGTTGCCTCCACGGGCTTGGTGAGGTGGACACTCTCCACCCAGGGAAATAGATCTTTCTCTCAAACTCACCATCGATCACAGAAGAATCAGAACTGTAGAAATGAACCACTACAGTGGAGTTGGTAATTTTCTTTCTCTTTTACACTCACACATTGCATACTTGGCTCTTTACAAGTTTATTTCATCCTCACGACAAAGGAGATATTTGTACTTTGGGTTTACTGGGTAGGAAGTGAAGCCTCAAACGTTAGATATTTGCCCCATAGGAGCCAAGAATGATGTGACTGGACTAGGGTCTGATGCCAGGTCTGTCTCACTTTGTCTCGTGTTTTTAGGATTGTCTGCAGGACGACTGGCAGCCTCTCTCTTCCTGTCATTGCTTCCAAGCCCATGCAGTATCCACTCTACTACACTCAAGCTTCCTGGCGGTTGGCTACCATCTTCTCAAGATGATGTTAGGGGTTCAGGATGTTACTGAGATCAGGAAGTGATGCATGCATTTTAAGAGGAAAAATCTGGAAAAGGCAGTATTTTAATCTAGTGAAGTTACTTTTGGGAATATTAAAGGTTGACTCATCCAAAGTGACCTTCTTTGGCTTTCAGATGGCACCGAAAGCACCCTGCTTTCACAAAAACTATTAGTCCACTGGCTCCATTCTAGTTTTCTTCTTCCCACTGTTTCTAACTTACCTTGACTTCTTATCCACATGCAAGTTATAGCCAGTCTTAACAAATAAAAAGAGACAGAAAAAACTTTAAAATGCAAATGTGACTGTTTATTTGGATCTGAGTCTTTGCCAAGGTCCTAGAGGCCTTGTGCAGCACTTGTCCTCTGTCTGGATTTTAGTATTTTCACATGTGGAATACCTGGCTGGACCAGTCAGGACCATCCTATTGGCAGATAACTGTAGTCTAAACTGGCTGGTAGAGAAGGGAATTGTATTGGCTCATGCAAGTGTGATCCCAGGCTGTCTGACTTCATTGAGAATGGACCTTGCTGCACCTTCCCTCTGTGGCCGGAACTCAGTTTCTCTCTCAGGTATCTCCTACCTGCTTTCTCAGAAGCATTAAAAAATAGACCTAGTTGGGCGGTGGTAGTGCATGCCTTTAATCCCAGCAATTGGGAGGCAGAGGCAGGTGGATCTCTGTGAGTTCGAGGCCAGCCTGGCCTACAGAGTGAGTTCCAGGACAGACAGGGCTGTTTCACAGAGAAACCCTGTCTTGAAAAAAAAAAAATAGAAGTAGCACTGCCCTCCACAAGACTTGAGAGAAGCTCTGACTGGCTCTATTTAAGGCACCATCTATCTTTGACCAATCACCGTGGCCAGAAATAGAATGTTTGTGGTCCAGGTCCTGTGATCTCTATGGGCTGGCAGTAGGAAGCATGAAGGTTTGCTTGGTTCAAACGTAGTGAGGGAATGTGGAGAGGACTATTCTCATAAAAAGAGAATGGGTACTGGCCAAGCCCCAACCGTGTAACCAGCCATTGCAAAATTAGTGATTTTAATCCTTGCTTGAGGGACCCCAGACCTCTGAGGAGGCACTTAGGGGCTATCTGTAAATAGTGAAGTATTTTCCAAATCTCAGCAAGGTTTTAAATTGTCTGAGGAATTGGTTTTTCTCTTTTGGCCGCTTCACTATTGGGATTTCACATAAGTTTTCATTTTGATAAATCTTTTTGATTTTGCTGATAAGAAAAAGGCCTGGAAACCATTGCAATAGATGATATCTGAGGCTTCCATTTAGAATATCCTTGTGTGTTAGATGCCAAAGTGAATAATTTTCTCCAATTGAGGGCACATGTTAAAGAGTAAATCTTTAGCTCCACCCTGCGCACTCTCTGTGGTGTCTGTTCTTTTCCAAATGACCCCACTGGCTTTATTATCATCTCTGTCAAACTAGTGCCAAGTCTGCCAGCCCCCACCTCCAGGGCCCACCTGTTTCCTGCTTTGCAAATATCTTGCAGATGCAAAAGGAAGCGAGTTTTAGTGTAGGAGGTGGATACTTTTAGTGTATCCTAGTGTTGATTCCCGATTTCCACCACTAGGGTGCTGAATTATTTAAGAGATGGAGGTGCGTTGTAAAATGCCATGCTGTGTTTGCACTGCATGGACCAAAAGAAACAGCTCTCAGGGATACGCTGATCCTAACATTTGGGATTCCAGGACAAGATACACATGGGGTCCTTCAAAACATATATATATAATCAATCACAAAGTAAAGTGTATTGTCTTTCCTCTTACTTTGACAAATGCATTTTTTTTTTTGCAATGACCTAGGAGGTGAGCTTAAAGTCACGATGTTCAGTCTTGTCGGAACTGTCCACTGCAATATGGTGACATGGGATGAGCTGGCCCCCAATACCCAGGCCACCCTGTCCTCCCACACTGCTCTATGAGGGATCCTCCATGTGGAAATGTGGACAGTCAAGCCACAGCCCTGGCTCTGTAGACAGATATCCTTGGGCATCTCACAGGACTAGGACAACACACCCTGGTGGCTCCTTTCACCATTGAAGGACAGCATTGTAGAAGATGTCCATCCCCTAAGGAGATTCATAAAATCCAGTTGTAGACACCCAGAACATGTTCTAGAAGGGAGTATATGTGGTCAACCATGGCATGTTGGGCATGTGAAATCACCATTTGGTAGCAGTGGTACCGTTAGAGCAGAGCCATTCAAGGCCTGGGCTTTTGGTTCAGAAGCAGAGGTCCTGAGGTAGGGTGGTTATTTATTGCCATCAGTGTTACTAGTGGCTTCCAGAATCTGGGTCATGTATTCTCAACTATTCACAGAGACTGGCTCATGCCCAGTTGTTACAAGGAGTAGAAAAGCAGGATAAATTAGAGGTTTTCACTGAACTGCCAAGATAAAATGGAGACTGGACACCAAGTGAGAAGTGAGACAATTTGAGGCATGGGGTCTAGCAAAGGGAATCCAGAAAGCCTGCTTTGGCGGCTCTGAGAATCCTTGTTTCTGGAGGGAACTAGAAAAGAGAAATGTTTGATTGGGAGGACTTTGGAGAAAGCTACTAAACACAGAGGGTAAATGTGTCTTGCTCTTCCTCAGGCTGTTGAGAAGATCTGGGAGCGCACTCTGAGAGCCCAAAGGATTGTAAGACCTTGTGTTTTCACCTTTAGGATCTGTGAATGCTTCCTGTGGATTAGATTGGGCCATGTACATGAGAACGTTCCTAGAGCCAATTTTACTGCTGCCCAGGAGTTCTGCCTACAAATGGTCTCTAAATCTCTACCACACCTGAGTCCAGACTTCATCACCTGCATAGCCTTGAAGAATTATCAGTCTTTTCTTAAGTATCTCCTCCCTCTTTTCTGCCAGGACCCTGACTGTGATCCTCTCAGCAAGTCTGTGCTCAGAGCCTGCTTGTCATCTAGAATCTACTCTACTCTTATTCCATATCAACATTCTTGGCACATAGCTATCAAGCTGGAAGACTGTATTTCTTAGCTTACATCATGGCTAAGGGCTGACCCTTGTAAATAAGATTTCACCAATGGAATCTGGGAGGAAGAGCTGTGTAAAGGATGCATTGGTAATTGCTTAACAGGGAATTATTGTTTTTTCCAATTCCCATGGTGTGAATAGGTGAATAGACTGACCATGGCAAGTTTTTTTTTTTTTTCCATATATGGCAGCAAACACTTCTGCTGTGTTCAGGAAGAGACAGAAGGTTAATGCCACGGAGGAGAAAGAAGAAAATAATGGGCTTTCTGTCTCAGTTACTCATGTTACCCAAGTTGCTTGTTGTCTTTTTTCTGTTTCTACAGAGATCCCAATGACCAGAAAATGTATCTGGTCATGACCAGACACCAGTGATGGGTCATGGCTTGGTCTGATTTTGCTTCATGGACAGAATGAGCTCCATATTTTACTTGAGTTAACCAAGTTCAGCTGCTCTTTTCCACTCTCTGCCTTGTCTCTATTTTTGGTGACTTCCCTTCAGGGTAAGCTGTCCCACACACATTAGTCATGATCCCCCTGCAAACCTGGATGTTTGGTGACTAAGGACTGTTCTTGCCATGTGACAGAGGAGTAAACCAAAACCCAGATAATCCATCCTGGTCTTGTAATCTCTTGTTTAATAGTCTGACTTCCTCAAGTGCCTGCCGGCTCTGGGAGGCAAAGATCTTATCTGATGTGTTCCTTGTCACAGCCTCAGCATCCAGCTTGTTGCCTGCTGTGGGGCTGCACTCAGTGAATGTTCACTAACTTCTCAATTTAAGGGGCCTGGGGAGAAGCCCTTATTCCAGAAGGGGTTGCAGAGCTCCAGCTGCAGTCATGGTTCTTTACATAATTACAAATATAAGAATTGTTGGCAGCACATTTGAGGTATCAGAAGATACACAATACCTAGAAGCCAGAAGGAATCCCATCTGTCACTTTGGGGTGTCGTGGTGTTTCTGTGAGTTCCCACTCTGACTCCTTGTGGACAGCCTCGCTTTACAGGTGTGCTCAGTGCCCCAGGGGGCCTCTTGGTCACAGTTATGAAGGGTGTCAGTGGATACGACATCTTTCTTTGATTCCAGCCCTTGTGGCAACCATGTCATCAGTGTCCCTTTCTTCTTCAGGTCACGTGACTACCCAGTGATGAACAGAACCAGCATTTTCACTCTTTTTTTTTTTTTTGTAATTGGGCTGTTTCTTATGCCAGTTGCTTCTCAACTGGAGCCAGTTTTTGTTCCTTTCCCCCAGGAAGAATATGGCAACGTTTGGAGACATTTTAATTGTTATAACCCAGAAGCAGAAGATTTACTGTCATCCAGTGGGTAGGCTCCTGGATTGCTGCTAAGCATCCTACTATGTGCAGGGTATCTCCTACTGCAAAGAGGTATCCATCCTAAATGCCGGTTGTGTGGTGGTTGGCAGAGCTTGGGCTAGGCTTTGTAGCCCCAGAGAACAAGGAGCCCCTGGCAGAAGCTACATAGGCAAGAGCAGTTTCAGACCCTTCTTTTGTCTGTCATTTTCCCTCCTCAGATTTTCTGTAAAGCTCAGATCACAGACATCTCTTCATGTGGACCCATTCTGTACATGGTCACTCTTAATGGGCAGTAACAGACTTAGCTCCTTAAGTGGCCTGTAAGTCATCCTAACTCACCTGTGGTTACAACAACACACCTCTATGCCATGAATGACAGACACATCCAGAGCCAAAAAAACAAAAGAAAACAAACAAAAATACCTCCCATAATCCCACCTTCCCTTTGACTAATAATTTCCAGAGTAAAACAAAATAAAGTAGTTGGGAAATACATAAAAAAGTCAGTGGGAACATATATTGTGGGGTACTTGTATAGTATAGCATCCAGGATGCCTTCAGTAAGGAACTGTGATGGCAGTAGTTTTAACATATAGGAGTTTACTATCAGTACTGCAAGTCCAGAGTAGGCAGCTCAAGTCTGATGTAGCAGCCTAGGAACACCTTCAAGAACTCAGACTCCATCTAATTTCTTCTTTCTTCTTAGGTCTCAAGATGGCTGCTGCTCCTCCAGGCATGGCATCAGCATTCAAAAGGAAGAAAGAAGAACCAAACCAGCAAGAAGGCTTGAGTGCATCCATTACTTTTTATAACTTTTCCTGGATGAGTCGCACAGTGAGTGATTCATCTGTTGGCTTCATCTATTGGCTACAACATGTCACATGACTTCTAGCCACAAACGCATCTGGTAAGGTAAGAATGTGACTTTTAGCTTCTTTAACAAGGAAGTCAAGGGAGTAAGAGGTCATGAAACCCAATGGCTGTTGAGTAGCCAATCTGCTGTGCTAAGCACAACAAATCCAATTTTAGAAACTGTGATGTAAAAGAATTTCTCTCTCATCTAAGTACTAACCAGGCTCAACCATGCTTAACTTCTGAGGGCAGATGAGATCGGGAAGGTCCAGTCTGTCAGGTCCACAGGAAGCTCAGTTTCTCAAACTTCAAGGCAGTCCCAAACCCTAGAAATGAGCTCAACAGGGCCTGTAGGAGAATTTCTGGTGGTTAGAAGACAACATTCCTCAGGAACTTGGGAAGCTGGTTCCCCTCTACCAAACAGAGTCATTTCCCTCACTTCTGGCAGAAGGGACACACAGCTACCTGTGGTGCCATCAGCATGTGGAAGCTCATGCTGCTCTCCAGGCTCCCTCTGCACCATAAGTGCCTGTTGTTACACATTTCAAAATCCACGCTAGCATCCTAGCTCTTCTCACCTCCTCCATGACTCTAAACTCCCTCCCCCAGCTACCCATTTCTTCTTATAACACTGCTATACTGTCAGTCTGTCCTCTGCCTCTCTCTCTCCCTCTCTCCCTCCCTCTCTCTCTCTTTCTCTCTCTCTCTCTCTCTCTCTCTCTCTCTCTCTCTCTCTCTCTCTCTCTCTCTCTCTCTCTCTCTCTCTCTCTCTCTCTCTCTCTCTCTCTCTCTCTCTCTCTCTCTGTGTGTGTGTGTGTGTGTCTGTCTGTCTGTCTGTCTGTCTGTCTGTCTGTCTGTCTCTATTTCTGCTTCTCTCACTATGTGTTCTCTATTCTCTGTCCCCCGTCTCTTACAGATATCCCTGGCTAGGTCCAATCTGCTGTTCATGTTCAGTCTTCTTCTTTCTCTCTGTGCTGTAGATTCTTCCAGATGCCTCTGGCTGTTTTCTCTCTCACATCTATAATAATAAAAACCTTCCCCTTAGCCATGCCATGGAGGGGCCATGTCCTTAGTTTATACACAGTCTTGTCTGCACCTATCTCTCCCTATCTCCACAGCTGCCTCCCATGGTCATTTCCCACCTAGGGTCTGTGGCATGCTACATTTAGATTCCCTGGCTTGTGATTATTTTTTGTTCTCAGGCCCTCAGAGTAGTTCTCAGGCCCTCAGAGTAGTTCCCTGCTGAGCGATAGGCTCTCAAGATGGTGCCCAGCCACAGCCTCTGAGACATGAGGAGTAACAACATGCCACTATGGATATCAGTGTGGGAGTTCCTCAAAACACTAAAAGTAGAACTGACATTAGATCCAGCTATACCCCTCTGGACTGTGTAACCAAAAGGCTCCATACTCTCTGAGAGAGGAACCTACACACCCATGTTCATGGCAGCTCCATCACAATGACTATGAAATGGAATCAGCCTGAATGTCTGTCAACAGATGAGTGGATAATGAGAATGTGGTAATACACACAATGGAATTGCAGTCATCTTTAAAAGGTGAAATTATGTAATTTGAAGGAAATGATAGATCTGGGGAAAATTATACTGAATGAGGTAAGCCAGACCCAGAAAGACAAATGATGTATATTCTCTCTTATATCTGTAAATCCCAGCTTCAGAGTTATAGATTTCTCTATTTAAATAAGAGTGTTTATATGTGTCTGGCGGTAAGAAAAGGAATCCTGTGGGGGAGTACTAGAACTCCCAGGATATGATGAGGTGGGGTATACTAGGCATGACGAGTTTTAAATGGTGTTGGGATGAGAAAGTATGAAAGTCGGGACAATTAACAAAAACGAAGAATGCATGAAAAAGCTATATAGAAGAAAACTACTTTATAAACTAAAATAATATAACCTAAACCTTAAACAATAGTGAAATAATAAAAGAGCTTGGAATGGAGACACCTTTCATGAGTTAATGCTACTTTCAGAAAATATAGGCTTGTAACTAAAATTCCACTAACAGGAGTGGGATACCTCCCTATGAATTGTTGGCTGAGAGGTGCTGGAGGTCCCCAAAAGAATACTGGCCATTTCTGTCACTCTTGGTTGTCCAAAGAACTCACTAGTAGGACCTGATGCTGAAGACATTGCACACGTTGGTTATAGGACATAGGGAAATCAAGTTGGAAGAGTTTGGGAAACGCTCCCTCTGCTGGTGGTGTTTGTAGTGGCAGAAGGTATGATGTAGGCTGCTGAGGAGGAAACTCACTCAAGAGTCTCATCTAGTTGTAGACCATGCTTGGTACAATACGGATCTGCCACACAGTATGTGCCTACAGTTACAATGGTGGCATGACTTACTGGGGTAACCAACTGATTTGTTATTGGATTGGATGCTAACTCATGGAAGGGAATGCACATCTGTTACTATAAACTAGATAAAAATTCTATGGTCAGGGTGGCTATGGGCTCAAGAGGTGGGTAGGGATGATTTGCTACCATTGTTTCTCTAAATAGTCACGTTATCAAACTCCTATCTAAATGTTTATACCCAGAGACTAATGACACTCTAAGCCTAGAGTGATGGTTAATACAGATTTGTCAAAATGATAAGAATAAGTGACTGTTGAGTAATCATCTCTAAATAGGATATCAATATTAACCTCTCAAGGCCCAGGGGGCATCATGGAAGAGGGAGTGTAAAGAATAAAAGAGCCAAGGCTTGGGAAATCTCTAAGTTTATTGTCAGGCCTGGGTTTCATTGCCCACGTCCCATGATTCACCAGTCCCACAGCCTGGAGTTCTGACTTCAGTGATCCCAGAATTGATCAGAGCACTGGGATTTTAATGGCGGCAGCCCTAAAGTTCACAGCAGGACCAGGGCTTGGGCTCTATTGGTTCCAGAATCAATCATGTGTCACTGGAGTTCTGACTCATTCCAGGGGTCCTACAGTTTGCTGAAGATCAGAGCTTGGCTCTAGTAATCCCAAAGTTTACCATAGTGCTGGGGTTCTGACTCCAGCGGGCCCAGGAACCACTGCAGACTGGCATTCTGAATACAGCCCTAAGCCAGTTTACAGAGTTCAGAGGAACTGATGTTTTGACTATAGATCCCCGTGGGTTCATAGAATTCGGTGTGTGACCAAGGTTTTTGACCGCATCTCATTGTATTGATAATCAGTGTGGGGACCTGCTCTTGATCCTGCTGTCACTTAGCCAAGACCAGATCACCTCAATGATCCTACCTGGCAATCATCTCCATGATTCCTCAGTCTCTGTAGCTGAACTTCCTGTATAAATCCCTCTAGGAAGACTTACAGAAAGCAAAACAACCAAATTGAATTGTCAGAAGGGAGGGAGGGTGTTAAAACTGGAAGACAAATCCGTTCCAGTATATGTACAAAACATGACAAACACCAAGACCATGACTTACCTATCGACCACAACCCATTCCCAACCTGCCAACTCAGGACTGATGAAATGTCTGAGTCTTACTCTTTGAAAGAATTAATGACCATATGGATGACTCAACAGATGCATCTGTCCAAGACCTTGACAAGACTGTAGAAGAAAAATTCATCAAGGAAATTGTTACATTGAAAAAGAACCAAATAGGGGCCTGGAGAGGTGGCTCAGCAGTTAAAAGCACTGGCTGCTCTTCCAAAGGACTCAGGTTCAGTTCCCAGCTCCCACATGGTGGTTCACAACCATCCTTAATCTCCAGTTCCAGGACATTAAACACGTCCTTTTGGCCTCCTTAGGCACTGCATGCATGTGGTACACAGAAAATAAAAATAAACAAGCCTTAAAACAAGAATCAAATAAAAATAGTGGGATGAAAGAAATGATCAATCAAATAAGTTAAAATAACATCAGGAAGCATCACAACAGACAAGACCAGGCAGAACAAATTCCAGGCATGGAGGACAAAGGGGAGACACTAATACAGACACTGATAAGGAAAGTCTAGGGGGGAAAGAGGGAAGTCTTCTGGGACCCACTTCTACATCCAGCCCAAGCTCCCAGGAATGAGGGTGTTTTAGGCACCGCTTCACAGCCCAGTTGATTGTGAGTCTGGGAAAAGGCCTGGACTCAAGTCTGTTGGTAAAGATTTTTAACTTTGCATTGAAAACAAAATATCCATTGTTTTACAAGGTCACCCTGCAATAATATATCACACATAAACAAGCATATGTATGCTTATGTACATATATATGAGGCCTCAGGAGACTTGCCCGTTTTCCCCTTAGGTATGCTGCAGGGAGCCCGCTGGTAGCACTTCATCCCAGTATGTGTGTCAGTAGGACTTAAGGCTCTGTCTCCCATGTGGAGCCTTGCCAGCCAGTGAGAGGGGGCTGAGAGTCCTGGGTTTCTCTGAGGGGTAGAAGCTTTGACCCCAGGAGAAGGGAAGAGTCTGAGAAGGAGCCCCCACGGTGAAAGCAGAGAAATTTGAAGTGAGGACAGGTAGTAACAGGCTGTGTATCTGGCCTTGGCCAAGGCTGCTTCAACTTGAATGAATTGGAAGAGCAGAGGCCAAGGGAGGAGGAAGGCACTGTTGCCAAGACTTGGAGGCCTGCATCTGTCCTGTTCATCCCCAAGTGCCACTAATGATGAAACCATGAAGTCCCATTAAGTGAACTCTCCACACCCCTGTGAGGAAGGCTCTCTAAACACAGGTACAGAGCTCCACGAGGCTCTGCTTGTTCTGAGATGTGCCTTGGGGTCAGGAGCTTCACTCACTAGTGCTATGGCTTAGAAAGTAATGGAGTACTCTGTGCCTCAATGTCTATGAAATGACATGAGAGCAGAGTCTCTGCTCCAGGGCTACTGAGAGGAGATGAATTAGTCTACACACAAAGCCTAGCACAGGTTCTGGCAAGGTGGAGACCCTCAGTAAACTGTCAGGTTTTAGTAGTATTCTATTTTTGTGCACAAGTCCATAAAATGACAGGAGTCCAGAATTTGCACTAAGTAGGTCTGCTTTTATATGCACAAAGTGTGCCAGTCTCTCCTGTTTGAACAAATGAGGAAATGAAGACCTAGAGGATGACAAGGACATTTTCAAAAGTCAACCAATACAGATCCTACACAAGGTTTCTAGCTTTCTGTAAATACTCAGGGAGCTGGGGCTGGTGGTGCAGGCCTGCAATCCCAGCTCCTTGGGAAGCTAAAGTAAGAGGATTGGAAGTTCAAGGCCTGCTTGGGCTGCACAGTGGCTTTAACACTAGTCAGACAACTTTATGAGACCTTGTTTTGAAAAGCATAAAGAGGGCTTGGAATATAGTGCAGGGGTGGATCGCTTGTCTAGTGGGTGCAAGGTCCTATGCTCAGTCTACAACAACCACAAAACCCAAACTAAACAAACAGGAAAACCAAAATTCACCATAGACACCCTCAGAAAATTCTCTGGAAAACTCAGACTACTTTTTTTGGTATTAGTCAGACTTTGGGTCACTGTGACAAAATGTCCAACATAAACAACTTGAGGTGAAATTTTTGCTTTAATTCAGAATTTGCTCCACTGATTCAGCCTGTAGAGAAGAAGACCTCCATGGATCTGGGAGTGCATGTAGGAGTCTTCTTACCTTACAGTGGACAGGGAGCAGAGGGAGATAGAGGGACTGGGCACTGGCTCCAGCCTTCAAAGACACACCTCCAGTGACCTAGTTCCTCTCTTTCTCCCACCTCCTAAAATAGGGCCAGCCACTGGGAACCAAGTCTTCAATACCTGATCTTATAGGGAATGTTTAGTATTCAAACCACAACTTATCTAAAAGAGGAGTTGACAAGCACCCGAGGACAGGGCCCCATGTCACCCCAAGGGCTTCAGGAAAGTGTTTGCTACCACATAGACCCTTCAGAGGTTACTGCTCTCAGAGAAAAGCCACCTGATGTATACCCTCTCAGCCACAGGGAGCCCCTTCCTGGAGACAAACAGGTGTCCTTGGGTCATCTTGACATGGACTCTCTTAGACCTAGACCAGAAGGAATGCTCATTGCTGAACATGCCCTGAGCCATCACTGACAATGCCCCCTCCACACACACATCCGCCCTTCACTGTGCATGGGCTTACATGACCACTGAGAGGCATCGGAGCAGCTTCCATATGCTCATACTGTCCCGGTGCTTCTGGGGTTTAGACTCAGCACTTCCAAGATGATAAAGACAGATCCAGATAAAGAAAAACCTCTATAAGTTTACACTACATTTAAAAATATATGTAGGCTTGTGAGAGAAAAAAATAACAGGAGAAAATAGAATAGCCGGTTGTGGTGGTGCACGCCGGTAGAATTTGCTGAAGGAGGAAGAGGAAAAAAGGGGACACTTCCTGTTTCCTCGCTTATATATGAGTCTTCTTGCTATGTCACTTCCTGCCTGGATCACCACTTATCTACTACATTTCCCAGAATCCTCTTTTACTCCTACTCCTGTCTAACTTGCTGTTTCATTGGTCAATCAGTATTTTATTCAATAATCAATAAGATAAACATACAAAGAAGTACATTCCCCATCAGATGACTGGTAGTTTCACTTGGCCTTTCATCATGTCCAAGAAGGCATATGGAAAGTGAAATTGAGCAGTCATTGGCATCAAAAGCACCAATGAGGTGTTTCAGCTCCAGGGCCACTTGGAACCATTGATTGACAGAACGTCTTGTGGGGAGGCATCTCTGAGGATATCTGGGTCTGCCTCTGGCCCATAGCCTCACCCAGGAGTGATGGCTACAAGATCATCTTGCTATTTTGGGTCATGCAGCCACATGATGGGTGGTTGAAAGACACTGCTCCAGAATTGCAGGTCAGTCCTTGAGGTTGGGTAGACCTGACCCAAGACCTTGAGGTTGATGAATAAAAATGAGTATGATGAGAAACTTCCCCGAAAAGAGAAAAAATTTGCAAAGCCAAAGAGAAAGCCAGTGTGGACTAGAACAAAGGATTCTAGGTTAGCTGAAGCCATTTGGCAGTCTAAGACTGTGTGAATTCTACATGGCTCTAGAGGTCAGTCCAACCAGTGCCCAGTGTTCATGTTCATGGGCTTTGATGACATCATGAGAATTAAGTATTGGGGTACAGATGAGTAATGAGAGGTCTTTTATGGGGAAGAAGGTGGTGATCTCCAGGTAGAATGAGATCACCATGTAATGGGGTTCCCTTGAGAATGTTTGATATTCCAGCATCAAAACTGGTCCTAGGGCTGGGAAAAACAACTCATGTGGCAAAGTGTTTATTTGCTATGCATGAGGACTTGGGTTTAATTGTCAACACTTCCAAAACTGGGTGCAGTGGTGCATGGATGAGATCTCGCACTGGAGAGGTGGAGGCAGGAGGATCAGACACACAAGGCCATCCTCTGCTATGTAGCAAGTTTGAGGCCAGCCTTGGATACACGAGACATTATCTCAACCCCTAAACCCATTCCTTGCCACCCCCCTCCCCGCCCCCACCAAAAACAGAGAACTTGGTTCTGAGTGCTGGCTATTCAACCTGAGGTACACACAAAAGCATGTGGGCTCATAAAGCCAGAGGTTAATATCATTCACCTGCATTGTCTTACATAACTAGAGATTGCTGGTGTGAGAAAAATGGTTGAAAACTCTTCTGGCTGAGAAAGTTTGGATGACTGCTGTTTCCATGATGTTTTGAATATTTGCTGCCCACATTGGCTCTGAGGTTTAACCTTCCTCTTTCCTTCTTTTGGATGGTGAAATATGTTTTCTAACAGCAATTTGGAGTCTATCCAGTGCTCCCTGTAAAGGACTCCAGAGTCTACTCTGGCTACGTTATGCTGTCAGCAAAGGGCCAGAAGAGCTGACTCTCCCATCTTGTGTCCATGCCCCAGGACTCTATTTTTATCTGACATCCTGCAGGGAGAGCATAGAGGGCAGGGAATGAAGAAGATTGGCCATCCGTAGGTGTCGACTTGTGTTGATACTGTTTGCCAGCCTGGGAGAGCACACTGCTGGAGATGCTAGTCGTTGAATCCCTACAGTCCCGGCTAGAGCTAGGAAACCTTGGAAAGGGTTGGGGTAAGGAATGGGCTCTTTCTTCTTCCACTCCCAAGGCATGCTCCTGCTGTAGACTCTGCCGAAGGGCCTCAAGCCTGCAGTACTGAGGGTTGTCCAGCCTCCTGTGAGCTCGTAGCCCTAGCAGATGGGAGTGGACAGGAAGCCTAAAAACACACAGTAATCTCCACATTACTGTGGAGTGAGCATTTCCTCCAGAGGTGGAGGAGATGATAAAAGCAGCAGTGTTTCTGTGCACAGCATATCCAGTGAAGCTTGTTTTCAGGCAATTCACATCAGCAGATTTTTTAACATCCATGAACCCATGTCGCAAGGATGGGAGCAGCCTTGTGCCAGGACTTCTGGCTTTGCAATTGCTCTGGACTTAGGAGAAAGTGGTTGGTGGGCAGCTGTCTTGCTGGCTGGATTTTCCTAGTATACTGCCTATTAAATGCAATGTCCCATACTACACACTCATGCAGGGTCCTAAGAGCTCGGTCCCAGATACTTAGAGCTGCTATACCTAGGCAAAACCCTATCTAAGTAGTATCTCTTGAAGTATGGTTTACAGAACATGTCTTTTCTAGGGCAAAGTTGTTTGTGGCTCAGAGTCAGACTGATAAGTTTTAACTGTTTGATGATGAGGCTGACAGTCAAAGGGCCCTGCTATACAATGCTGGTGAATAGCCCAACACTAGCCCACCAGAGATCCTGGGTATAGCAAAGGGCCCAGAAATGATCCAAGAAGCAGCAGTTGGTCAATCTTCCTACAACATTCCCAGAAAGTTCAAGGAGCATAGGTTCCTTCCAAGAATGGAGATTTTGGTCCCTGGTTTCAAGGCGCTGGTTAAGAAAATAAAGGAGAATGCAAGCAGATTGCCAGGAACTGTCAGTGGTGCGTGATTAGGACAGCGTTTTCCCTGAAGTTAAGGAATGGAATAAACTGTCACTCTTGAGCCTATCAAAGAAGGCTCTTTGGATATGGTGTCAAGACAGAGGTGTGGGGTTCAGTTGCTGAGAATGGCCAGCCAACAGTCAAACCCTTGCCCTAGTCTAGGTGTGGAGTTTGGATCTAGGATAAGGAATGGGAATAAGAGAGGAGGCTCCCATTCCCAAAGCCTAGCATGCTGAAATGTAGGACACATCCAAAGGATCTCCAGATGCTTGGCTGGTTTGGTTCTCTTTGGATCCATATTACTTTCTACAGCAGTCAGGTAGGATCCAGCTTGGCTAGGCATCACATTTACCAGTGTTGGGAGGGAGAAGCTCTTCTAGTGCAGATATTACAAAGACCATAAATAGGGTAGGTGTGGGGATTGTTTCTGGTGGCTCAGAGGTCTTAAAAACAGCTCAGCATCCTAAAATACTAAGAATATTTAAAAGCTATGTCCTGTAAAAGGACACATTCTTTTCATTTCAAGATCACCATTGGCTCTTCACCAGCATCTCTTATTTTATAGCCATCCCAAGAAGGTGATGGCAACTACCCTCAGCATTGTTCATTTGAAGCAGACTCCACCCCCACCCTCCACCCCCACAAAGTTTACTATTATATGAGTCTCGGCAATGCTTGCTCAGCACCTCTGGTAGGTGTAGACAAGGTAGCTGGTGAAATTCAACGTGCATTCCTGGGGAAGTCCTCAGCAAACCACAAAACAGAGCCGAGGAAAAAGCTTAAGGAGCACAAAGATTCAGAGATTTCATGTTTGGTTATTTCATTTCCCTCACACTTTCCAACCTGTCCTTCATTTGGGTCCCTTGTCCAGGAATGAGGGAGCCATGGCCTAAATAAAGCTGCCTCCCCTTTCCTTGCACTGCAGCTCTGGTGGGGAAAGGGTTGGATGGTACAGGTAGTTTAAGACTTTTTGTATTGCTTTGCTTATTTGCATTCACTTTAGATAGATAAATTGAATGGATGGATGAATGAATGAATGAATAAATAAATAAATAAATAAATAAATAAATAAATAAATTTGGTTTGTATCCAGAAGGCTGTGGATTCTGGAAGGTCCCTTGTCTAACTGCCTCTTCTCCATAGCCATTCACCCCACAAACATCACTTGTACAGACAGGGATGAGTCTCTTCCCTGCCTGTGCTTTTTCCCAAACCCCTTTAGGAGTGGAGTGAAGAGGGGCAGCTCCTTCCTCAGGCAGGCCAGGGGCCTGCTCATGAGCCTCACTCTTTCCTCTTGGCTACTCATTAAACTACAAGTTTAATAAAAAATGACAAGCCGCAGCCTGGGAGAAAACATAACCATGCTGGTAAGTTTGGGGTCACCTTGACACAGCTAGGGTTATCTGAGAAGACAGAACCTCAACTGAAAAAATGCCTCCATCAGATTGGCCTATAGTCAAGTCTATGGGGACATTTTCTTAATGAAATGATTGATGTGAGGGCCCAACTTAGTGTGGGTGGTGTCACCCTTGGGTTGTATAAGAGTCTGGCTGAGTAAACCTTGGAGAGCAATCCAGTAAGGAGCACTTCTCCATGGCCTCTGCATTAGTTCCTGCCTGACTTTGCTTTATGATGGACTGTAAATGTAAGCTAAATAAACCCTCCCCTCATCAAGTTACTTTTGGTCATAGTATTTTATCACAGAAATAGAAAGCAAACTTGAACAATGCATCTATCCAATAAGGGACTTGCATCTAGAATAGATCAAGAACTTTTAAAATCAATTATAACAGGAAGAAAACGATTTTAAGATGAGTGATAAGCACTGGAAAAGGTATTTCCAAAAGTTAGATCCCTAAATATTCATTTAATATATGAAAATGTTTCAACATCATTATTTGTGAGGGAATATAGATTAAAATCAAAATGAGAAGGCTCATCACACACACACACACACACACACACACACACCCCAGGGCCAATAAACAGGCCAACAAACCACACAGACCACTTGAGAATAGCAAGTGTTGACAATGTAGAGCAAGGGAAAATCCTGTGACATCTAAACAGGCATCAGTCACCCTCCTCTGCAGCTCCTAGTTCAGCTGAACTCACCCTGCCTTCCCCTTCTACATGTGTTTCTGGATCGTGTGTCCTCTGTTGTATTTCTCTGCTTTTACTTCTCTTGCTCCTCCCCTCTGCTGCACTGCTGGGTGATCACAGGC